AAGGCTTGCTAAGAGAGGTGGGAAAGAGCAGCGTGGATTAGACCGATTTCACACAAGAGCTGGGCCGCAGTCGCGCCTCCCTTTGCCCCGCTTCTATTGATCAATTTCCCACTCGAAGCCGCGCGGCTGCATTTTGACTGGCGGCTTCACTCGATTTTCCCCGCGGTTTCATGATCCTGTTTTTTGAGGATCACGAAACTGTGGGGGAAATCAGGCAAAGTCACGGGTCAAAACGCAGCCGGGCGGCTTCGAGTGGGAAATTGACCAATAGAAGCGGGGCAAAGGGAGGCGCGACTGCAACACAGCTCTTGTGTGAAATCGGTCTTAGAGTTGCCAGGTCCCCCCGGTCACTGGCAGGGGATGTGGGGTAGGGTTACCAGATCCAGGTTGTGAAGCTCCTAGAGATCTGGGGGTGAAGTCTGGGGAGGACGGGACCTCCATGGGGTACGGAGGAGTCTCAGAGCGGCTTACAATCTTCTTTCCCTTCCCCTTCCCACAACGGACACCCTGGGAGGGAGGCAGGGCTCAGAGAGCTCTGAGAGAACAGCCTTTGAGAGAACAGCTCTGAGAGAACTTGTGACTGACCCAAGGTCACACCAGCAGCTGCATGTGGAGGCGTGGGGAATCCAATCCGGTTTTCCCAGATTAGAGTCTGCACTCCTAACCACTACACCAAACTGGCATTTGAGAGTCAAAGCTCCCTTCCTCAGATATGAGTAGGGATAGAGATCTCTGAGTATCTAGCAGCCCAAAGGACATCTATTCCTGCAAGAACAATCAAAAATGAGGAGGGCGAGCTGACTGTGAGCTCAGAACACTGAATAATGGCTGCCACCAAGGCTCCCTCTAAGCTGTGGAGTCTTGGGAGCAAAAATTCTACTTTGTGAGCTGCTGCCATTAAAGTTGTGAGCGAGCGATTTGGCTGCTGCATCAATCCATTTGCTCCGGAGCTATCCTTCCTGAGCTAGGACAGAAAAGTGTGAGCCGGAGGCTAAAAAACTGTGAGCTAGCTCACAGATCAGGCCTATAGCTACAGTGGGGCACCACGGGGCTAGGTCCCCTGACTTGCTGGCAAAGCCCCCTGGCTTCCCATCTAGCCCAGGGTGTCATGGCCTTCTCCCCCAGATTAAATTGATTAGCTAGTGCCCCCTAAGAAATTTAAATGTCCCCTGACTTTAAAAATCCTGGCTACGGGTCTGTCACAGGACTTGGTAAGATTGCCAGTTTCTGACCTGGAATTTCTTGGAGATTTGGAAGTAGCGCCAGTGGAAGGCAGGCCATTTTCTCCAGAGGAACCAGCCATTTTCTCCAGAGGATCAGATCTCTGTTGTCTGGAGAATAGTTGTAATTCCAGGAGATCCCCAGGTCCCACCGGGAGATCAGCAGCCCTAGAACTGGGCCTCTCTTTGGAATCAATTCCATGTCAATTCTGCTGCCACCCCCAAACTGATGACAGCTGCTACCAACAGTTTTATGGCTGAACTGTTTTAATTGTAATTCATGTTTTTAACGTAATTTATTTATTTTATGTAATTTACAGATTTTTATGTAGGCCACCCTGAGCCAGCCTCGGCTGGGAGGGCAGAGTAGAAATCCAAGAAACAAATAAATAAATATAAATAAAAGGGAACTTTGACTTTTGGCTGCGGTCACACACACTAAATAATCCTCTTTCGATGCACTTTCCAACTGGATTTTTACTGTGTGAACTGGCAAAATCCAATTCAAAAGTGCATTGAAAGTGGATTGAAAGTGGATTGAAAGTGGATTGAAAGTGGATTATTCAGTCTAGGTGATTTCCCACAAGCGCTGCTCCGCGCTCAGTCCTCCGTTTTGCCCCGATGGTACGTGTCAATTTCACACAAGCTGCTGCGCGGCCGCATTTTGCCCCGCAGCTTCGTGCGATTTTCCCCGCGTCTACTCAATCCTCAAAAAACAGGAACATAAGAACATAAGAGACGCCAATGTTGGATCAGGCCAAAGGCCCATCCAGTCCAACACTCTGTGTCACACAGTGGCCAGAAATACCAGTGCCATCAGGAGGTCCAGCAGTGGGGCCAGGACATTAGAAGCCCTCCCACTGTTGACCCCCCCCAAGCACCAAGAAGACAGAGCATCACTTGCCCCAGAGCCCCTAGCTATACCTTGTGGCTAATAGCCACTGATGGACCTCTGCTCCATATGCTTATCTAATTCCCTTTTGAAGCCATCCATGCTTGTAGCACCCACCACTTCCTGTGGCAGTGAATTCCAAGTGTTAATCACTCTTTGGGTGAAGAAGGACGTCCTAGCTGCGGGGCAAAATGCGGTCACGCAGCAGCTTGTGTGAAATTGACACGTACCATCGGGCCAAAGAGAAGAGTGAGCGTGGAGCAGCGCTTGTGGGAAATCACCCTATGTGTGACCACAGCCGAAAACTTATCCCCCTGAACATCTTGTTAGTGCTACTGGGCTTGAATCTTGCTATTCTACTGCAGACCAACACAGTTACCCTCTGGAACCAACATTTATTTCAGTAACAGCTTTCGGGGGTCACAGCCCACTTTGTCAGGCAGAGCTGTGATGGAAAGTCATATTGGGTTAACAGATCATTTGCCGTGGAAGCACAGAACCTTTACCCTGTATCCTCAATCCTTCACATTTCCCGGTTAAGGGGGAAATGCTGTTCAAGCAAATTACAAAGATGGCCTGACTCCAACAGTAACAAGAGAAAGAAATTTTACTTACAAATCTCACATGACATATTCACATAGGCAGATTTAACTTACTGTGAACAGAAGAGAGATCCTATATAAGATAAAAAAGAAGGCAAGCAATGGCCAAAGAGGCTCAGCATCTGACCAGTGAGAACGGCTAAGTGTACCTGAGTGAGAGAATTCTCTTAACTCTTTATCTCCGAGATCATCTTACATGTAGAGTTACAATATCCAACAGCTTTAACTTTCTAAAGCTCATCCCCCAAACATCTTGTTGGCACTACTGGACTTGAATCCAGCTGTTCCATTACAGACTAACATGGATACCGGTTAAAACAACATTTATTTCAATAACAAATTTTGGGGGGTCACAGTCCACTTTGTCAGACAGACCTGTGAATAGAAAGTCTTACAGGGCTCTTTTTGTAGCAGGAACTCCTTTGCATATTAGGCGACACACCCTGTAGCCAATCCTCCAAGAGCTTATAGTAGCCCCTGTAAGAAGAGCTCTGTAAGGTCTTGGAGGATTGGCTACATTAGGGGTGTGTCGCTTAATACCCCGCCTTTCACTACCCGAAGGAGTTTCAGAGCGGCTTACAATCTCCTTCCCTTCACCTCCCCACCCCACAACAGACACCCGGTGAGGTAGGTGGGGCTGAGAGAGCTCTCCTGAGAACTGCTTTTGAGAGAACAGCTCTAAGAGAACTTGTAAGTGACCCAAGGTCACTCCAGCAGCTGCATGTGGAAGAGTGGGGGATCAAACCCGGTTCTCCCATATTAGAGTCTGTGCTCCTAATCACTACACCAAACTGGCAAGGGGGGTTATGGGTAGGGTTGCCAACTCGGGGTGATTTTGGGGGTAGAGCCTGGAAAGGGCAGAATTTGGGGAGGGGAGGGACTTCAGCAGTTTATAATGCCATAGACTCCACCCTCCAAATCAGCCATTTTCTCTGGGGGAACTGATCTCTGTCATCAGGAAATCAACTGCAATAGTGGGAGATTCAAGTTATGGAGCAAGTTACGGGGCAGCAGAAGTCAAGGCTTGGTGTGAATTATCAAAGTTCGAATCATAGTGAAACTGCAGGAGATTTGGAGTGGAGCCCAGGGAGGGCTGGGTTTTGGGGAAGGGGGGGATCTCAACAAGGGTATGATGCCATCTAATAATGTCCCGGGGATCCCAAACTGGGTGACACAGAGACTCAGGTCACATGACGTCAAGGCTATCTGGGTAAACTCTGAATCGTGATCATCATAGCAATTTGCAAAAAAAAAAAAGTGTTCGGAATCTCCCTTTCAGTTGTCTATTGGCTGTGTTACATTTTCGGAGGGGATCAAGCTAGTCGAAAGACTTATTGCTCTCCTATGAACTAGCCCATTCAAATAGATCTGTATCAGAGGAATGGCTCTAAGTTCCCCTGAGTTTTGGGGAAAGGCAGGTGGTGACTGTAGCCAGGGTCTTTTCTGTGGTGGTGTCCGGCTTGGGCTGTTAACCGACTGTACCTGTTGTATTCCTGCCTTATTGATTGCGGTAACGTTTTCCCCATTCCCTTCCCCTGCATGTGCTGCTACAGCATTCTTATCGCTTACCCTCCCCTGCCATCGCATTCCTGGGGGGGGGGAGTGATTGTATGTAGGAGTAGGGAAGCTAGGTTCAGTAAATCTTCCAAGCCACCCCAAGAGACATCTTTCACACGGGAATGTGCCCTCAGAGAAGAGTCTATGTTTAGCTAGTTGAGGACTGTATATCTCTCATGGTCCTTGCAGTAACGCTGACGTGTACAAATGGAATGTGAGTTTGTAACTACCGAATGTGAGTTTGTAACTACCTGCACCTTTCCCACCTTGGCACCCCAGTTCTGACAAAGAGTTCAAACCCTGAGCATCTCATATCTTCTAATAAAATCTTTCACTGAAAAGGTGTGTGGAGAGTGATTTGATGGGGAACCTGACAGGTGGCCCCTGAAACACCTCTAAAACACCCACCCCCCAAGCTGTCTGGGTCGTGCCCTAAGCAGTTGCCAGTCGGCAAGCCATTATCCTCTCTTGGACTTGCTTCATTGGGTTTTGCTGCTATAAAGTGCTTCTGCGGTTTCTGCTTTTAATGTATTTTAAAGTTTCTTTTGATAATCTGTTGCGCTCCGGAATTTTTATTTATGGGGCCCAGCAGAGGGACAAGAGGTAGCAACCAAGCATCCCTGGTACTGACCTCACTATCCTATCTAATTGTCTTCTTGCTGCCCCCTGCAGGGTCTTCTTCTTTTCTTCTTTGTACACCAGGCATTGCCTTTTCCAACATTCTTCATGTCATTTGAACCACTTGCTCAGTTCCGGCACAGCTGTGTACTGAACAGGTTTTTTTTGTAAAGCCCTACATGCCTTGCAGTAGTGAGTACTCCAACCCTTGTCCCCGACGGGTTTCAGCCACGACCGCCAACGGAAGTAACTCTGGTACCGCACATCATCTTTGTCCAGTTCTTGTAGAAAACGAGCCATTTCTTGTGCAGAGGGGAAGTCTTCGATGTGGATAAAGGAGTCCGGGGGCACGAAGCGCTCGTAGTTCTTCCGTGGTGGGCCACAGACGATGGGAACGGCCATCGAGGAAAAGGCATTGTTCCAGAGCTTTTCGGTGATGTAGTCTTCATGGATGGAGTTCTCAAAGGATAGGTAGAATTTATACTGGGTTAAAGTGGAAAGGTGCTTGTCCCGAGGGAGAGGCAAGTGCTGCCGTCCATAAACGTCAACCTGCATGTACTTCTTCAGCTCCTGGTAGTATTGCACCCGGCGGGAGCTTGGGTTCCAGTTGCTGACAGCCCAAGCCACCAGCTTAGACTTGGGTGGGATGGTGATGTTCTGTGGCTGATCAAGGACTTCCAGCCACCCATAAGGGCTGAATATTCCTGAGTCTCTCCGGTACGACATGGTGAGATTGAAGAGGTTATCCATGAAACCCAGATTGGGGGAGTTGCTGGGAGACTCCAAATTAAACCAGATCCAGTGCTGGGAAGGCGGTCTTGGGTTTGGGGGGAGATTTTTGGAGTAACATACATCTCTGTGGTGTATGACAACCGCGTCAGCCTTGGCATACCAGCTTCGGTCAGTGGTGAAGCGGCAGTCTCGAACATCAAAGAGCAAGGAGCATTTGGGAAGGTCAAATGACTGCCCAAAGGGCCAAGTCCATATCAGGATGGTGACCTCTGGGAGTCCCCTGTCAATAGGGGTGCTTGTTTCGTGTTGTTGCAGTTGTTCGAGTGTGGGGTACATGGCGAGCCCAAAGTCTGTTTGCCAGTCATTTCGGATGTAAGCAAAAATCAGCATGCTGAGTATCAGCTGAATGAACAGAAAGGGCAACAGTTTTCGGCAACTTGATGGCTTGGTCTGTTCCTTGACATCCATGTATGGGTCTGGGGAAACAAGAGAGAGGGTAAAGGAAGAATGATTGTGTTGGCTCTGTTGGCTCACATAATAGAAATAGAAATGATTACGTTTAGTGAACTTAACTTCAATGTTCACTGTGAAAAATTGCAAATTGATGGACTGTAATTGGACTTGAATCAATTTTTCACAGTGAACATTGGTGGGGCGCAACTAGGGGTGTGCAAAAAAAAATTCAGCCAATTTGGATTCGGCCGAACCAGGCAGAATCAATTTCGCCCGGCGGTAAGACTCCTGCATGTCAGTTTCGTCAGTATGAGCCAATTCGGGAGTCTTTCGGCCAGCCGAATGTCAATTTCAGCCCGTAGACTTGAACCCACTGGTCCAATGTTCTTGACACTTGGTGGGTATCTTGGGGAGAGGCTCCAGCAGCTACCCTGCGAGTTTAGAGCCTCTCCCTCAAACCCCCTCCCCTCCAGCCCCCAGAATATACCCTATGTTTTTGCCATTGACTTCAATGGCCCATAGGATATAATGGGGCGGAATTGCTGCCGAATTTCGGTGGCAATTCGGTGGCAAGCCAATTCAAATCAGAGAATCTGAATTGGCCCAATGCAGCCCGAAAGGGGCCCAACCTTGGTTGAGTCACCGTGGTCCATTTGTGGCTGGAACTTAACTTCAATAGCTAAGGCCCCAAACGTCCCTCTGCTAACTGTCAACCACTTATATGAGTACATGCTTAATTTCTTGTGTAGGAAACCTGTCTGATGAAAGGGGTGCAGCATGTGGAGTCAGTGTCACATAGCACAGGTGTTCATAGTCCTGGATGACCTGGACTTGTTTCTGAACATTATACACCATGGCACATCTATGGTAGCCACAGCTTTCTGTTCCTTTGGCTCGTTTGCCTCTTTTCCACCTCTGTGTACATGTGCACATTGGTCAAACACTGCAAAAAAGCAGTCAAAATATGATTGTGCGTCTAACTGTGCCAAGATTTATTTTGCGTGGTGTTTTGCCAATCTACTATGTATCTTTAATTATTGTTACATAGCTATACATATGCATTCCTGAACAAAGATAAAACACCACACAAAAAGTATCTTGATACAACTGCAAAGGCAACAATGTTATTAGATTCCTAGTCAAATCAAAACACCACTGTTCATTGGCAATGCAGAGAAAGGGAAAAGACACAAGCAAAAAATGATAATAGAAAAACATTGAAGCTACAGCAAACTGTGCATGCTCAGCGCACACAATGAAATTTGAAAGTAGAAATCTGAAATACTTAGGGACTTTCAAGCACCTTCCAGTTCAGCTCACTTCCTGTTTGCCAGTGGTGACCAGGCAGCCAGTTAACTGATGGACTGCTCAGCAGTTTGCAACCCATTTGCAGCCTATATGAAGGAGCAGGCTACTTCCAGCCATCAAAGCCAACTCCCAGCTGATGAGGGACTGGGTGGGTGTCAACTTGCAATCTCTCGCTTGGGATATTTAGCTCTGTGCCCAGCAAAGATTTTCAGGATGGGGGGTGAAAAACAGGCGGTGAATCCCAGCTGGTCAGCCAAGATCTGGTTCTTATTATCTCCCATCCTGGACATCCCAGACATGCAGACATGCAGAAAATTGAGCCGTCATCTTGGGCTGTAGAGAAAAGGAGATCACCGCTGTTCTTCATACCCCAAGCTTTCTATTACAGGTGGAGAGGGGAAAAAAGATTGCTTCTTCTGCTCCCCACACCATACTATTGGCTTTAGCTGACAAGAAAAGGAGAAAAACAGTCTCTTCTCTCTGTTTTGAAATTGCTTCTATCTCTGACTTTACTGTGTAGCTATTTTTTTGAGGGAGGGGGTGGTAGATCAGAACCAACTTCCAGTTGATCTCCTGACCAGCTGTGAGTCAGCCTCTGACCAACAGGCAGCAGCAAACTTGTTCAGCAGCTTTTTGAGTGGCTTGATCCAATCCAAACAGATCCCGGATTGGGTCACGGCCTGATAGTGAGCGTGGAACAGGGTATGTTCCACAGCTGAACAAGTTCACTGAGAAATTCAAAGCCACCTGTGACGGATGCCAGGCTTGCGATCAGCCTGCAAGCAAAGATGCCTGCAAGTCACATGACTAGCAGTGGTGATGGGACCCTAATGCAGAACTCAAGGGGGGAGTTCTAAATAAAAAACAAGCAAACAAACAAACTCTTGACAGTTGGAGTTTGGCAGTTGAGACTGTCAGTTGGTACTGAGCCAGGGGACTCACAAGCCTGGTTGGAACAAATGAGATATCTATATAGTTTCCAATATTAAGGGAAACCGAGAGAAGCCAGTCGTGAAAACCATAGTGAAAACTAAGGAGTCTTAACCAGGAAAATAAGCTCCTAGTGGTTAAATAGAGAAATACACATTCCTCTCCCTTAGAAAATTATACCCTGCTGGAGAAAGAGCCTGGTTTAGGGGGTTTAGTGTGTGCCAGAAGAGGATATTGGACTAGTGTAGGGGTCTTTGGGGGCCGGAGTGCACCGGAGCTCTGCTCTGGCAGCCCAGAACCCCACGCAAATGGTGGCAGTGGCAAGCCCTGCCCCCAACTCCCCGTGCCAAAGCCCCACCGTAGAAGCGCTGCGGCCAGGAAGACGCACAGAGAGCCCCGCCATCGGGTCCCCCGAGCCCGCGTAGAAGCGCTGCGGCCTGGGGGAGGCCCGGAGAGCTCCATAGCCAGGTTCCCCAGGTTCCCCAGGCCCGCACAGAAGTGCTGGGGCCGGGGGAGGCCCGGAGAGCCCTGCCGCTGGGTCTCCTGGGCCCGCGCAGAAGTGCTGGGGCTGGGGGAAGGCCTGGAGAGCCCCACTGTCGACTTCCCTGGCCCCCACCGAAGCAGTAAGGGATCTGTGGGGGTGGGGTGGCGGGGGCTCGATGGGGGGGCTGGAGAGCCTCCCTCCATCCATCCATCTCTTTGCCATCTTTCCCTCCTTTCCTTTTCTTCCCCTCCTTTTCTTTCACTCTTTC